CCCCCCCCCCCCCCCCCCCCCCCCCCCCCCCCCGGCGGGGGCGGCCCCGCCCGGCCAACCACTGTCCCCTTCCTCCTTCACCTACAAGTCACTTGTGCTGACTCTGGGAAATTTGGAAAGTTCTGATGAATGGAAGTCCTTCACCCTGAACTATCAGACAATGTGTGACAATATGGGGTTCTTTCCGGAAGCCTTTGTTTCCCCAGGCCAGGTTTGGTTTGGCTTAGTTGCCATTGCTGCATGGAGAGACGCTCTCTGATTCAGTTTACAGTGCTGACTTCATGTGCTTGGAACACAACCGTGATATTTCCAAAACCTAGGACACTCTGTCCCCTCTGGGAATTGTGTGGGTGGGGCACACCGGCATGTTCTTGATCTCAGAAACTCAAGCACCAGAATTCACAGGACCAGCGGCAGCTAAAGTATGGTTTACGTCTTACCATCGCAGCTTCCAGAATCCTCTTTCTAGATTCTAGCTACTTTTTTTTTTCCTTTTTCTTTCTCAGGCCTCAGAGCTTCTGAACACATCTCCATCTCAGTGAACCAGGGATGACCTATTTGTTTTGCTTTCTCCTAGATCATGCATTCTTTGAGTCTTGGTAACGGGGATGTTTTGTCTGGTGAGACGCAAAGCCATCAGTGGGACAGAACCAACGCTCAGCATTCATGACGTGCTGGCAGGATCCTGGGAAAAGGGAGCTGCTGGTGGCACACCTCTGAATCAGCTGTTTCTTTTTCTCTTTGGTTTTAAAAGCTCTATGGAAGTGACCTGATATCCAGAATCTTCTCCAAGTATGAGCAGGGGAATGTTGAAGTTTTGGTTAAATACGTTGACGTCTTATGTTTTGAAAAGCATTAGAATGTCAAAGGCAAGAACCCCAGAACCCTGCCCATCCTCCTGTGAGACCTTAGGAATTATCTAACAAACCTATCATGTGTCCATTGGGCTGGACCCTCTGCTGGGAGAAGTTCCAGAACCCCAAGATGCCTTGAGGTTCATCTGCTTCTGGAAGCAGCTACCTGTGGTCTTGGTGTTCTTTCCTGGCCCCGTCTTGAGGTCTTTTTGTTGTGCTCTGTCCTGACGTATGGCCTTCACAGTTGTGAAGCTGAAGGATGACTTTGCCCTTTCGATGGGACTACGGTGAACGAGCAAGCCGTGCGTGTAGAAGTCTGTGGGAAGAGAGAAACGCTGAGCATGTCTCTGCCAAACCAGTCCCTAGAAGGTCTTCCTCTCGAGGCCTCCAACAGATCCCTGAACGCTACAGCGGCTTGGGACCCAGAGGTCCTGCAGGCGCTCAGAATCTCCCTCGTGGTGGTCCTTTCCATCATCACACTGGCCACTGTCCTCTCCAATGCCTTCGTACTTACCACCATCCTGCTCACCAAGAAGCTCCACACCCCGGCCAACTATCTCATCGGCTCCTTGGCCACCACCGACCTCCTGGTTTCTATCTTGGTCATGCCTATCAGCATAGCCTACACCACCACCCGCACCTGGAACTTTGGCCAAATCCTGTGTGACATCTGGGTGTCTTCTGACATCACGTGCTGCACGGCCTCCATCCTGCATCTCTGTGTCATTGCTCTGGACAGATACTGGGCCATCACTGATGCCCTGGAGTACAGCAAGCGCCGGACCGCAGGCCACGCAGCAGCCATGATTGCGGCCGTCTGGGCCATCTCTATCTGTATCTCCATCCCTCCGCTCTTCTGGCGGCAGGCCACGGCTCACGAGGAGATGTCTGACTGCCTGGTGAACACATCTCAGATTTCTTACACCATCTACTCGACCTGTGGGGCCTTCTACATCCCGTCCATCTTGCTCATTATCCTGTATGGCCGCATATACGTGGCTGCGCGGAGTCGAATCCAGAACCCACCCTCCCTGTATGGTAAGCGCTTTACCACGGCACAACTCATCACTGGCTCCGCCGGCTCCTCACTTTGCTCGCTCAACCCCAGCTTCCACGAGAGCCACACACACACAGTCGGCTCCCCTCTCTTTTTTAACCAGGTGAAAATCAAGCTTGCTGATAGCATCCTAGAGCGCAAAAGGATCTCTGCAGCCCGAGAAAGGAAAGCCACTAAGACCTTGGGCATCATTCTGGGGGCCTTTATCATCTGCTGGCTGCCTTTCTTTGTGGTATCGTTGGTCCTCCCCATCTGCAGGGACTCCTGTTGGATCCACCCGGCCCTCTTTGACTTCTTCACGTGGCTAGGTTATTTAAACTCTCTCATTAACCCTGTCATCTACACTGTGTTTAACGAAGACTTTCGACAAGCGTTTCAGAAAGTCGTCCATTTCCGGAAGGCCTCTTAGTTGGATTTGGGGGTGACTCTTGTTTATCCATTATGTCCTGTAACCCCGCTGGTTTTTTTTTTTTTTTATCACTGTCATTTCTCTGAGACCTGGGTTGATTTGTGCCATCTTGGGTCTTGGATTAAATCAATAGATTTGTTCTGTGTTGGACTGCCAGCATCTTCTAGACTTCTGAACCACCTAAAACTAGACCATTGTGTTGTATTAAAGGGGGGACAGGACTGAAGACATCCTTTACCATAATATCCTTGTGGTTCTTTGGATTGGAAGAAATATAAACTGTAGGACCAAGCTAAGGAACTGTCTTATTCTCTAGCAAGCTCGGAGGGAAGGCCTTCTGGTCTACCTGGGATTTTACAGAGGGCTTTGGAGAATGGGTGTGATTATTGACTTGAATTAAAAGATAATTTGGAGTTAGAATGGAGGGGGTTGTCATCTCCTGTAGTGCACTGATTAGAAAAAAACACTGGGTTGTCCATAAGGAAAGTGGTACTGGTGACCCAGAGTAGATGGAGAGAAATTCAGGTGGCAGCAAAAGAGAGGTATACTTGGGACCAGATTAGCTACTCTGCAACCTTCATTCTTCCCTCTGTCTCTATTATGTAATGTTCTGAAGTTAAAACCTACCATCCTGCCACTCAAGAAGACTGACCAGTGTCAGATGCACCCAGCTTTGAATGGGACACCTCATTCTGCCCGTTCTGATTTTTTTACTTTTCTGGATTATTCTTTTTTACAACCCTTGTCATCAGAGTTCCTAAGATGTTGAGTCTTACCAAATAAAACGCATGAGACACAGTGAGCAGTGAAGTCTTTACAAAATTATGTATTTGCCGATTGTCTCGTATGTGTACATATGGTATGTATGTAAAGCTGTAGCATGCCACACCTCTGGTGTCAGTCACTGCCTTACACTCCCTTGTCTCCAACACTGACTGCCTTGCTTATTCTAAGCTAGTTAGCTGACAAGCTCCAGGGTCTCTGTCTCCACCTCCTATCTCATCACTGGAGTGTTGGAACTGCAGCCACGCATGCACGGCTTCCATCCAGCTGGATACCCAGCTTTTTATGCAGGTTCCAGGAATGGATTTCCCCTCCTTCCACCCTGAAGGTACAGCCTTTCTGCTTAACTGTTTACAACTTCCATTGAGCACCCACCTCACACCTGGCCCTGTGCCCGTTCATTTTCATATCATTTGCATGACATCTTCATAACATTTGCATAACATTTGCAAACCCGGAGTTTCCTAATTGTGGCTGCTCTGACAAAGTGACAATTGAAAACTGAGAAACTGGGCGGTGGTGGCTCACGCCTTTAATCCCAGCACTTGGGAGGCAGAGGCAGGTGGATTTCTGAGTTCGAGGCCAACCTGGTCTACAGAGTGAGTTCCAGGACACCCCGGGCTACACAGAGAAACCCTGTCTCGAAAAACAAAAAACAAAAAACAAAAAAACAAAAACAAACAAACAAAAGAAAACTGAGAAACTGGCCGGGCAGTGGTAGCACATACCTTTAATCCCAGCACTTGGGAGGCAGAGGCAGGTAACTTTCTGAGTTCGAGGCCAGCCTGGTCTACAGAGTGAGTTCCAGGACAGCCAGGGCTATACAGAGAAACCCTGGGGGCAAGGGGACTGAGAAACTGGACCTGGTAAGATGGTTCAGTGGGTAAAGATACTTACCACCAAGCCTGATGACCTGAGCTTGATTCCCAGAACCCACATGGTAGGGAGAACCATCTCCCACCAACTGTCTGTCCTCTGATGTCTGAACATACACACACTTGTATATACACAAAAATAAATTTCAAAGATGTTAGGAAAAAAAAACCACAATCCCCTCAAGAGCTGGGGCTGGAGTCTCGAAATGCAGCTCATTGAGAGTGTGCTTGCCTAACTTGTTTAAGCTACTGGGTTTGGATCTCAGCACTAAGCAAAATAAACAAAATGAGAGAAACTGGATCCTTCCATTCCAATGCAAGCGCTCTCAGTTCCTAACTGCGCGCTCTTTTCTGAATCCCTCACTTTCCTAGAGTATAACATGGCGATGATAACAACTGTGTCGAATAAATTAACACAGCACTCGATACAAAAGTCCCTACCATTTTTGGAGATCCAGGAATTGACCTACTCAAGTTCAGGCAGCAATAAGATAACAACAATGATAACAGTAGTAACCGCGCCCCCCGCCCCCCCCCGCTCTGTGTCTCTTTTCTCATGTTCTCTTCCTCCTCATCTTACAAGTGCGAGGAAGAAACACGGCTGAGGTTAGAGGAAGGCTTTGTTAAGAGACAGCTTAAGGATGAGCCCTGGTGGGAGACAAGGGTCAGGAGCTGTGCTGAGGTGTCGGGAGAAGGAGCAGAGGAAGGCAGGGCACACAGTCCCAGGTGAGACAGCAGCAGAGCTTCTGGGGTGTTCCATGAGGCCTCAGCCACAGGAAGAGGAGTGAGAGCCAGATGTCAGGAAGGCTGGGAAGGAGAGGAGGGCAACCCAGCAAGAGAAGTTTGTTCTGATGTGTTACAGTTCAGTTCCTGGACCTCCTACTCAGAATCACTCCACGGGCTTGCTGGCCCTGGATCCCTGGCCTCAGATCCATCGAATCAGAACCTCTGACGAGAAGGGCCCGGAGTCCATTTTGTAACAGGGGTTCACTGTGCCGTTCATGGTGACTTTGTACCTCAGGTTAGCTCAGTGATTCTCTTGCTTCAGCCTCCTAAGTAGCTGAACAACAGGTGGGAACCATTATACCTGGTTTCCTAGGTTACTGGCTAAAGTCCCACTTCCTGTACTGAGAGATTACTATGTCTCTACACCTTGGGAATGGTGCAGTTAGTGTCTTGAGGCTGCGAGGCTTCTCTCTGAGGCAGGAACACTCAATATGCTCAACAGTTCTCTTTGCCTGGTAGACTCCATCTTCCTCCCTCCCTCCCTCCCTCCCTCCCTCCCTCCCTTCTTCCCTTCTGAAGTAAGATCTCCTGTACTCCTAGCTCTCCTTACCACCACAGGTAGTTTATATTGTCCTGGGGTTTAAAACCAGGGCACTAGGCAAGCACTGTATGAACCCCCAGCCTTCAAGCCCTGTTTGTCCCATTTCTTCACCTTGCTTTGTGATGTCTACCTGATCAGGAAAGAATGGGAATTTAGAGTTGAGATAGGGAAGTATACTATGTGACGTTGGACGCAGGCTAAGCCCTAGCTCTGTGGCATAGCAGTTGTGTGATCTAGGGGGTGAATTGCCCAATCGCTCTGTGCTTCAGTTTCTTGTCTATTGTATGGGACCATCTGTATTGAGCCCAGAGAAGGGGGTGGGGTGTGAAGGAAGAATAAGACAGGAATCATAAGCACTGTGCACAGTAAAGCATAGAATGTCACTGGCTACCACTTGAGAGCTTTGAGCAAATTATAAAAGAAGTTCAAACACCAAAAGCCTTCCAGGACTGTCCTGACTAGAACCAAAGTCAGCCATCATTATACAAACAGCTTTTTGAGATATAGTTTACATGTGTCGTGCAATTAAAGGGGCTGGGGGCATACCTCAGCACTGCATAGCTTAGGAAAGGTTTGATCAGGGCATGGAAAACATCCTTAACAATGCCTGGGTGTAATGGCGCATGCCTGTAATCACAGCGCTCAGGCAGAGCTAGGAGGATCGCCTTGAGGTTGAAGCCAGCCTGGACCACATAGGAAGATCTCATTTCAAAACAGCAGGGAGTGCTGGACAGTGGTAGGGCATTTCTTTAATCTCAGTGCTTGGAAGCAGAAACAGGCAAATCTATGAGTTCGAGGCCAGCCTTGACTACACAGTGAGTTTCCAGGGCGCAGTGTTCCTGGTCTCCAGAAGACAGCCGGGGCAGGGTGGCATATACTTTTAAATTTTCAATTCTAGCACTCAGGAGACAGAGGTAGGCAGATCTCTGTGAATTCTGTAATAGCCTGGTCTACTCAGTGAGTTTCAGGACTGCCAGAGCTACATAGGAAGACCCTGTCTCAGAGCAACAGAAATAAAGCACACACAAGAACACCCACTTTCACTCCCCACCCCTCCCTGTTCTCCTCAACTATCCCCCGCCTTGCTGAATACACACATCTACTTTCTGCCCTATAAAAATTTTTTTTTTTGAGACAGGGCTTCTCCGTGTATCCCTGGCTGGCCTGGAACTCACTCTGTAGACCAGGCTGGCCTAGAATCCACAGAGATCTGCCTGCCTCTGCCTCTCAATGTCTCAAGGGATGGGGTTAAAGGTATGTGCCATCATCACCTGGCTTCTTTAAAAAATATTTATTTATTTATTTATTTATTTATTTATTTATATGCGTGCGTGCGTGCGTGTGTGCGTGCGTGTGTGCGTGCGTGTGTGTGCGTGTGTGTGTGTGTGTGTGTGTATGCGCACGCACACAAAGCTACAGAGCATGTGTGGAGATCAGAGAACAAGTTGTGGGAGCCAATTTTCTTCTTCCACCATATGGGACCTGGGGATGGTATTTAGGTGGTTTCAGGCTTTGTAGAAAGCCATCTCAAGGGCCCTGTCCAGGAGACTTTTTGCGCTGGACTTTTTCATGTAAAATGGAATCCTGCTGCTTGTTGACGCATGCCTGTGACCCCGACTCTCAGAAAGCTGAGAGGGGGGAATCCCTGTACCTTTGAGGCTGAGTTGGGCTACATTGCAGTATGAGGCCAGTCAAGGCTACACAGCAAGACCCGTGTCCCAAACGAAACAAAATATCCAGGCATGCTGCGGGCCTTCAATTCTTGTACGCTAGAAACAGAAGCCGGTGGATCTCTGTGAGTTTGAAGCCAACTTGGTCTATACAGTGAGTGTGTTCTAGGCCAGCCAAGGCTACAAGGTCAGACCCTGTCACAAAACAGACAAATCAACCAAAAATCAAGACCAGGATTTTACCATGGGTGATCTCGGAGGCTGACTTTTTTCATGTTTAATGTTTTCATAGTTCATCCAATTCGCAACACATGTTCATCCGTTGAAGGACATTTGAATTGCTTCCATTTAGCACAAATGAGGTTATGAAAATCCATGCCCAAGTTT